TACCTCTGCGCACCCTGTTCGCGCAGACAGGATACGTCATCAGCGCGTTCACGCATGCTGTGCAGACAGAGCGAGGATGGCAGGCAAACATCAACAACCCGATCTTTCTTCCTGGTATTGTAGTACTTTTAAAGATTTCTCATCGGTGAGTGACACATGATGTAGCCCAGCGGTTAATCTAGTCCTCGCGCCAGCTCGTTAGAAGTGAGCTACGTGCATGAACTGTGTTCCGATCGATATGATCCCTACACAGTGTTCATTGCTCCCTACTCCCTGAGCAGGGGAAATCCATTGAAGTTTACTTCACTTCAGAACATGGGCTGGAATTGGGAACCTGATGTAGCCTATTGTAGTAATGTTGTCTCTGGTCTGTGAGTGTAAATGCGTTCAGGGGGCGTGGCTTTGGAAGGCGATTGCAGGGAGGGTGGGACGTTCGCTTTCAGTGCTATCAGGCTAAAGTTAGCATTTTCCAAGATCTCCTATTGCACCTTTAAATTGTGCTCCAAAGACGAACTAAGCTTTCACAGGTTTGGAATGACATAGGGGTAAGTGATTAATGACAAAATTTTCATTTTGGGGTGGAGTAACCCTTTAATCACAGAAAACTGCCCTGGAAAAATCTGAGAAGCTAGGAGATGCAATCAGAAGAAAAGAGATGATCTACTTTTTCAGAAGGTGTATTTATGACCACATGGTATTAATATTTGTCTCAAGTAATCCAATCACAAGTAAACAGCTCTAAACAGGTGTGAATAAGGTTTTGGTCTAATCATGGTTGTAGACTCTTACTTTTTCTTTAAAAGAAAACAATGTTCTTTTTAATCATTTGGTCGAACTGATTCATAAATTTGTGAAGAAATCTGTGAATCAGTTTGTTGGATCTGCACAGCCATTTTTGAGGCCTATCTGTCTTCGTACTGAATCACTGACTCTCAAATAAAACACAGCTGTAACCCCAAGTGTTTGCTTTAAAACTGTTTCCATTCCTTCTTAAAAAGAGGGCAGATGTTCCAAAAACTCTTTCTTCCTCCGCCACTGAGACACTTTATGCATCAGTGAGTGTTTCCTACAGCTTTAAGTAGGATATCAAAAGATGGAGCGCAAACGGTCGGCTGGAGGAAATGAAGGCTTGCACAAAAACCAACCAACATCCACAGAAGATCTGTCCCAGGAGGTGCAGAACTTCAGAGGAAAGAGCTTTTGGGTTGATGGACGGGAGTTTATCCTGGGATAGAGATGTCTTCCTGTAAATATTTTGGTGGTGTGATACTTCTCACTGAGCATTTACGGCGCTGGTTAAAATACAGCAGGAGCTCAGAAACTGAATCACAGCCAGTCAGGCACATGCTGGAACTTACACTCTAAAAAATGCTGGGTTAAATACAACCCAGTGCTGGGTAAAATAGGCAATTAGGTTGTTTTGACCCAGCGGTTGGGTTAAATGTTTAACCCAACCTTCTGGGTAGTAACCCAACCGCTGGGCCAAAACAACCCAATTGCTGGGTTTGTCCTTATTTTACCCAGCACTGAGTTGTATTTAACCCAGCATTTTTTAGAGTGTACAATAAAGATACTGTAGAAGTACTGTGGTTTGTTGAATGTATCAGAGGGTAATATCATGATAATTTAGTGCCATGATACCACCATGATATTTTGGTCGTGCACTATGGTATTCTTGAAAGAACCATGGAATACCATATAAAAACCATGGTACATGAATTATATTTAAGTACCATAGCATTACCATCTGATACCATCATTGTACCATGGTACCATCACAGTACTTTTTGTACATGATACCATGGCGATACTATGTTTTGTGGACATATACGTTGAATTACCTTGGAGTACCATATAAAAAATGTGGTATCTAAACATGGCAATCATTCAGTATTACAGTTATATGAAACTAACAAACAGTCCCATTGTATTACCATGTTTTGTTTTGGACATGGACATGTTCTAATTCTTAGTGCAATCTAAATACCATAGAACAAGGTATTACTTTTCGTACCATGATACATTTTAAAGTACTATAGAATTACTATCTGATACCATGGTACTGTCACAGTATTTTTATAAGGGAAAACTTGTTTGACATGGTACCATGGTAATACCATGTTTTTTGGACATGTACTATAGCAATACCATGGTATAAGTTCATTTACCTTGGAGTAACAGGTAATACCTTGGTATAAATGATAATCATTCAGTATTATACTGACAAAAAGTACCATAGTGCTACCATGTACCATGGTAGTACCGTGTTATTCTTAAAAGTATCATGTGAATGGTAATCACCTAATATATTATACTTACATAAAAGTATTAAAAAGCATCATATGTTTTTTGGACATGGAATAGAATACCATGTAAATACCATAGTATGTGGTATTATTTTCAGTATCATGGTATATTTCAAAGCACAATAGTACTGTATACTTCTTGGTACCACCATGTTTTTACCATGGTACTATTTTTGTAAAAAAGAGTAACCTGCTTTTTTTACTTGGTACTTGGTGCTTTTCTCTTTATATGAATACTCATCATCATCATTAAATCATTTCGTACCATGGTACCGCCAGAGTACTTTTTTGTAAGACTTCTTTCTTACTTTCATCAAATCCTCCTCGTCTCTATTTTTAGCCATTGTCCTGCTATTCTGGAATTCATTGCTGACTGGCTGCTGCCGAGCGGAATCCTTTCAGGAATGTCTGGAACTTTCTCAAACCACTACAGAGAGAGAAAGTGAGTGAGAGGTTGATCTGTGGGGAGGGGGAGAGGAAAGGAGAAAGCAGATGTGTTTGTTCTTCTGTTGTGGACTACAGTAAGTCTGAATATGTGCGAGTGCGATCAGGACTTCTCTATGTGCTCAGAAGTATCTTGAATTGATTAGCGCGCGTGAGATGACTCGTCTTTCTGTGTGTGGTCCTTTTAGCAATAACAATCAGTCATAATCTCTCACAGTTCCTGGATCAGTATTACTGCTTCAAAGAACAAGTTCAGAGTGAAAGCCAGGCCGTACAGGCCACCTGCTGCTCACAAAAGTACCGATCTGTCCCGTGTGGGTCAGGTTTTGCTTACATTGTGGAAGCTAAATGCATATAATTGTTAGTGATTGTAGTTTAGAAAACGAATGCTTTTGTCAAGCTACATTATCACTTTATAAGATTTAAGCAGATTTAAGAAGACACGTTGACATCTCCAGCAAGTGAATGAAGTGAGCAGCTAATGCCCAAAAGTGCATTCTGGGAGTTTATTTTTTGGCAATTTTGACAATGGGACTCACTTGGAATTGTACAACTGAATTAGACAGCGGATTGAGACACACCTAAGGACTAAAATCAAGGACTGTAGCAGCACAAATGTATTTGGGTCGGTCTGATTTGTGCAGCAGGTCTGCTATATTTCTTTCTCTCTGGCACGCGGCTGAAACGCTCTCTTGTTCTGTTTCTGTGGGCCCTGGAGAGCAGCTCTGGATCAAATTAAAGCTGGCAAAGACAGCAGCCTCTCCTTTATATATTTCTCCCTTCAGATCTTGTCTCTTGTTCATGCGCACCTTTCTGTACTCTGGGCTTATGTAAAAACTTTGGCCTGCTTAAAGGGATAGTTCACCCAAGAATTAGTATTCTGTCATCATTTACTCACCCTCATTACTCATTACCCTCACTACTCAATTAATCCAAACGGTTCACTGAAAGATCTGAGGTCTACTATCTGAGAAATATTAGATGTAGGATATTCCTTGACTTATGCATGCAAAATTTAAACCATTAGTGCAGTCAAATAAAGTAGACACAGATATCACCTCCTTTGAAATGATTCGTTTATTGAGTTGGTTTTACACAGATTTGGTTTTGTGGTACAAAACACCGCTGGTTAGCGAAATATCTCCACTTAACAACAACCAAAGCAGCTGAATACACAACCAAAGATTTACAACACAACCACGTGACCGCAATGCACCATCTCTGTTATTTTGCTCTTCCAGTTGTCTTTCAGTGTTTGTTTACACACTTTGTATGAGTGCTGTTAAATGAATTGGCTTCACCACTAATAAATAGAGTATAAAAATGCAATTGTAATAATTTTATTATCAAAAAATTAAACAGAAATCATAAAAGATAGCAAAGGCACTGAACAAAAAATACCTTGGCAGTCCTTGTTTCTCAAGCTGATACCAAACCCCCAAAAAAAGATTATGGCATTGACCAACAAAAGTAATTAATTATAATAAAATAATGCATAAATAACATAATAATACTACAATTTCAGTACTGTCAATAAACAATATCCAGTCAAGTTTTCCTCTATGCTGAATTTTGACTAATATGCACCAGGTATTTCCAGTTTGGCTGAAAGCATGTTTGAATTTGATTCGCAATGGCCGCCTCTGTTAATCTCAGTTACGATGGCACTATGGTTAGCAATGGCACATTTGGGTGGATGCTCAACTTCATCTTAAAGTATTAAGACAAATAAGGTTGATAGAGAATATAGTGACACCAAATATTGGGTCAGATCTGTGAGGCGGCTTTTGAGATTTCTGACACACATCAAATGACCCTGATGAAACTGCAGTAGTTGTGATTGATCGTCTGTTTATGCAAATGCTAGGCATTAGCATTAGCACTGCATGTCTGCACTAAAAACCTGTAGAGACCAGGAAATATCGTTGATTATACGCACAATGTTCTTCTGTAAGGTAAATCAATAATAATATTTTGGAGAATCAAAAACAGAAGCGCAATAACATAAAAATACTAACATAGTATAATTTGATCACTGAATCCAGTTGACAATACAAAGCAATACAGATATGCAGTATGATATGATACACATTAGGTGTGTCTAAAATATCTTCCCAGGACCACCTCTGAACAAAATGCCTCCCATGATCTGTTTCTGTTGAAATTTTTGGTGCAAAATGAATTTTTCTATTAACGCTAATAGCCAATTTGCTAACTTAGCGTCTCTTTACTCATAAGCACCTTCTTTGGTACAAAATACTTGCCTTATCCTTTCATCTACTTTCTTCATCTCATTATTTCTACACTTGCACTAGTCTTTCTTCACAGGCAGCAAAATAAAAAGCTACATCATCCTTTCCAGTGAATAATTCTATGTGTCCCTCTTACTGGAAAAGTGTCTTCCATCCATAAAATGCTTTCATGAACATACCTTGGTAAATACCTCTCTTTCTACTACAGCTACTTCACACTTACCTTCTAAAAACATTTAGACAACAGCCTTAAAAAAACTAAAATTGCACTTAATATCGTTGATTATACGCACAATGTTCTTCTGTAAGGTAAATCAATAATAATATTTTGGAGAATCAAAAACAGAAGCGCAATAACATAAAAATACTAACATAGTATAATTTGATCACTGAATCCAGTTGACAATACAAAGCAATACAGATAAGCAGTATGATATGATACACATTAGGTGTGTCTAAAATATCTTCCCAGGACCACCTCTGAACAAAATGCCTCCCATGATCTGTTTCTGTTGAAATTTTTGGTGCAAAATGAATTTTTCTATTAACGCTAATAGCCAATTTGCTAACTTAGCGTCTCTTTACTCATAAGCGCCTTCTTTGGTACAAAATACTTGCCTTATCCTTTCATCTACTTTCTTCATCTCATTATTTCTACACTTGCACTAGTCTTTCTTCACATGCAGCAAAATAAAAGCTACATCATCCTTTCCAGTGAATAATTCTATGTGTCCCTCTTACTGGAAAAGTGTCTTCCATCCATAAAATGCTTTCATGAACATACCTTGGTAAATACCTTTCTTTCTACTTCAGCTACTTCACACTTACCTTCTAAAAACATTTAGACAACAGCCTTAAAAAAACTAAAATTGCACTTGAAATTCTGCAAGTAGACAACAAAGAAAGGACTAAAGATTCTGAAACAATAAAGCTTCTGTCCCATTAAACCTATGACAGAGGCAAGCTCACAAGATCTAGTCCAAACATGCCTCTAAAGAGCCTTTGGAATTTGCTGCTTCATCACGGCTTTGAAACAAATTAGTCTACTTGTTTTTTTGGGGTGTTTTTTTAGCTCTAACGGGAGTGATTTGGGCATCAAAGTTCAACAGAGAACCAATAATCCATTATTCTTAAAGCTAAGCAATTACAATCCCTAAGCATCAACACATAAACATCAGGAGAGACAATGTTCCTACAGTCCAAAACCTTTGGAAATAGTCAAACAAGCTTGTCTCGGCCTGAACATTCTTTGGAGCTGAGATTGTGTCTGACATTTCTACCTTGAGTTAAACCTTGTTAATGTGAAGGTGTCCAGAACTCTAAACAGTCAGCTAACCCAATCAAGAAACCACAAGAGCACCATTCTAGAGAAACACATGGTGCATGCACACATGTTCCTGTCAGGACTCAATCAGAAACAACCAATCCAGCATGCTGGCACCTTGAATTACCCAGCGAGTCCTGAAAATAAACTCCCTTTCAAGGTGTTCATGGACTGACCATTCTTCTTCTTGAATAATGCACTGTAAAGCACTAGCCTCTCGGCAGAAGTGGGGCAAATTTAACCTTGAAGTCAGGTAGTTCTGTAGGGTAGGCTTTGTGCTCAGAGTTCCTGGGGCTCTTCTAAGCATTCGATACAAAAAAAAAATAATAATAAAATAAAAACAATAATACGCTGTTCATCTGATGACAGCTTCCTCTGGCATCTCTCTCCACCTTAAGGAAATGACATACATAATTTAATATGAATTAAAAAATGTAAAACAAACAAACAAAAAGGCACTTCTATAAATCAATATATATGCTTCGACTCATAGGATCAATACGAGTTTGATCATTACATATGCAGTTTAAATGTCATATTAAAATAACCAAGAAAGAAAAATAACAATTATATATGTCAGTTCCAACCAAGGGCAACGAGAGATTTCAGTTTCTTATTCTTCCAGTACTGCCAGACCACACCAGTTTTGTATCACTAAATCTACAAAAATATATATTAATAAATAATACACAACAACAGTTCATTTGGAGCAAGACCCTGGTTTCTTTTTTTGGAAGTAAATATCACAAACGGCTCCGTGAGAGTTTTAAGGTGCTTGATAAACTCAGGTTGGCTCTTATTTTTGTTTCATCAAGGCTGCTGTTACATGATGCCATACTGTGATGCTAACTCACCTTATACTTAATATGTAAACATTTAATATCATTCCTTGCCTGTAGGGGGATAATGTCCCAGAGTACCAACTTCAATTTTACTTACTTCAAACCCTTAAATCCCCCTAGGCTGTAGTTCCTATAATTAATATACTATAATTTTAACTGTGTATAAGATTGGGTTGGGTAAAGGTCAAGTAAAATAGGGTAGGATTAGGGTTAAGGGTCAGGAGTTAAGGTTTGGTTGTGTACAACCTCCAATATCATCCCATTGAAAAAGGACTCACATTCATAGAATCCCAGTTTTGCACTGGTCGTCAACAACATGCCGAACAAACATCTACCACTTGCTCCACCTTCTTTCTTTCTAGGCCCCTCTCAACTGGCCCCCATCCCTATGACAGGTTGTTGCTGATGTCCAGGGCTTGTTGGTACACCTGAGTCATATCATCAAGATCTCCTAGTAGAGAGAAGCTGCTGTTATCCCCCGGAGAGCCCCGCGTTCCTCGGCTGAATTTCCCACTATGTAGGGGAGGAGCTGCCTGGAGACCTTTGAAGTTGGCCAGCTGGAGAAGGTTTTCTGCAGACACACAGCCTCTGATGTTGGGGCGGGCACCGGGTGGGGGCCAGTCAGTGCCACTGAAGGAACTGTTGGTGATGGTGTCCCTATCCTCCCTTACAATACTAGATGGGCGACTCTGACTGCGGGATAAACCAGAATCGCCAGGTGCTGGTTCCCCAAGGACACTCAAAGGAGGAGCGCCACTGTATGTAGAATACTTCCCGTTGCGCTTCAAGATGCCCTTCCTACCAACTGCTCGCTTTGGTGGTGAGCTGGCGGCAAGAGGTGTAATGTTGCAACCTAGCAGGTCAGAGGACTCACTGCGCTCTGGGGAAGAATAGTACCCTGATTCTCGTTGTTGGTTGTTTTTTAGAATTCCCTTCTTCGGAAGGATAGAGACCGCTTTGGTAGGAGAGTTGCCTGTTAGCCCCTGCTCCTCCTCGCCCCCTTCATCTTCAGGCCCGGATTCCTTCTCTGGGGTTCCCACACTGGATTCTATTTCTTCCAGACTTGGAGAGTGTTGCTCTTCAGAGGTTCTTGTCTTCAGGATGCCCTTTGGTCTCTTGAGGCCCAGGCTGTCATCTCCATTACAGTGAGACACACCGTCATCATTCTCTTTCTTAGACTTTTTGGGCCGTTGACGGACAAGCAGGAATGGCTCGGACCGGATGGCTTTAGCGGGTCGAGGCTCGGTCCGGTTCTGCCAGTCAATGAGACGAGCCAGCATGGGTGAGCCAGCATCCCTTTGCGATTCACAGTCACATACACTGGTTTTCCATCCCCAGTTTACCCACCAGTGATTGGCGATGTCTTCCACTGTGGCCCGCCGCTCGGGGTTGACCATCAGCATCCAGCGGATAAGACCACGAGCATCTAAACAAAAGACCAAGCAAGCTTCTTGTTTATCATGATCAAGAGACACATTTACCTGCATACATCGGTACACATTTTTCTATACAAAAGGCATTCTGAACTTTGTCTAAGAGTTCATGCAAGACCAGTACCTGATGACTGGGATGGTTCTCGATACTCTCCGTTGCTGATTTGCCAAATGAGATTTTTGTGGTCCCCTCCATCGAATGGCATGCTGCCATAGACCAGCGTATACAGCAAAACCCCCAGAGCCCAGCTGTCCACCTGTAAATGATGGATGGCATTGATGTCAGCTGACTCTGAAAGAACATTGAGTTACTGCTAACTGTTAATGACACTTCAGATATTCTGTCATATGGAGGTGGGATAGAAATCACATGACAAGACTTGGATGTTTAATGCTGGCTGTGCTTTCATGCGCAAATCTATTGATGGCATGACTTTTTGGAAAGCAACTGGACACTCCAGCACGCACAAACAGCATCAGACGGTACCAGTCTTCCACTCTTGTTGGTCTCAGGCTGTTTTTCAGCTTCAACTTTATATGCAATCAATCTGTTTTGAGACGTTCTATTACACAACATACCACCCTAAGCAGTCAGTTATGTAAGTCCTGTGGAAGGTGGGTTGAAAGGGCAAGGTATGAAGGCCAGAAAACTCAAGATCGCCCCAGCAGCCTGGATGGTTTTCCAGGTTCTTGAGTTGTCAGTTCATAGGAAATTACTTATAGACTAGAGTAATTGTTTTGCTCAAGGCGGTCACCAGGGTGAGACGAAACGGAGACTTTCATTGCTTTCATTGATTGCAAGGGTTTGGCTTTTTTGATTATATCCTCTACATTTTAGTGTTTTCTGTACCCTTGAGGAAAACTGCAGCAAATTTTGAAAAGCCCTGAGCTATATACCACAAGAGCGGCACATGTAAAGCTCTAAAGAACCTTACAACTCTGACCGAGGTTTGACATGTATAATCAGAGATACTTGGAGAAAGAAACTCCAGCTGCTCTCCATGTTCAGTAGGGAAGCACAAGGCGTGTGTTTGTCTGTTCCTAGGGGTATGTGGAAGGATAATCCCATCAAAGAGCAGAATAAGGCTTCACTAACCACACAGACTGTCTCTGATACATCACAGCCGCTCACAGTGGATTTCACACGCTAACATAATGAAACTGTGGGGTGTTTCATTTACGATGATGCAAACCTCAAGGGTTTATGTCTGTGCATCATGTCATGCAGGCCTGTAGTAAACCATTCCAGCATGTTTTTATGACCCTGGAAAGAAGTTCAACATAAAGAGCAGCTTGTAAAGCTTTCTTTATCTGAGCATGCCTCACCTCTGGACCACGGTATGGTCTGCCGTTGACGATCTCTGGGGATGCGTACAGTGGACTACCACAAAAGGTCTGGAGGAGCTTGTCTTTATGATACAGGTTGGACAACCCAAAATCAGCAATCTGAATGAACAACAAATACATCCGTGTTTGGTTTTAGAGAAATAATGCTAAACAAAAAGTTTATTTTTCTGTTTTACTTTTACTGAGTAAGTGTTTGCTTTTACAAGGAGTGATTTTTCAACATCCTGCTTGTTTTGTTTCATGAATGAAGCCCACCATTTCTTAATTTTTAAGTTCACATACTTGTATTTAAACACTACTGAGGTGGAGAAAATCTTTTGGAAACAGTACAGCATCCTTTCCATATACTATTTTGTGGGACGCACTAATCCTAATGTTGTATACTATATAGATCATGGATGTGAAGTAAAAGGTAGCCACAGTTTCAGAACCATTCTTACCTTTATGTTACAGTTTTCATCCAGTAGAACATTTTCCAGTTTCAGGTCTCGGTGAACAACACCATTCTGTAAAGAAAATGTCAGAATGCACTTCAGAGATCTGAGGTAATACTGTCATAGCCAACAAAATCTTTATTAACCGCTGACATCTGTCCCACAAACACTTTCTGTAATTACTGTTCTGTTCAGACACCAGTTTTTGATTGGTACATGACTGTGCAGTTAGTCCTTGTGTTTCCTTTAAAGTAAGACACAGCATTCGGGTTACAGCACGCCCGGAAACCCAGTTACAAGGGGTTTAGGATCTGAGAGAGTTGGTTACAGATGTCTGATGGCCATGAAAGATGCATGTGTTCAGCATACACAGTGTTTAGCAGATGAACTATAAATCGCCTGTTTGACAGGCTGCTTTCTTGAGGCATCTGGCCGACCCCACCCGAAAATCCCCCCACATTGTGGTTGCCCATGGTGATGATGACTCATTGCCCTCCCCTCTGGTGTCTGGAAGCTCCCCTGCCCTGATATATGACATCACGTCATCTTCAGCTGCAAACCACCCCACTCAGTGCAAGCCCACGGTGACCTTGATTGACTCAGCAATGCATCGTGGGGGAATGGGACTGTCTTATCTGGAATTCTAGCTATGATTCATAACCTAGTAATCCAACTAATTAGCATTTTTATACGCTTTTCAATTAGGTAGATAGGTATCTGAATGCAATCCCATAATGCATTGCAACAAGTTCAGTGACAAAAAAATCCACCCAAAAATGGTGGACAAAACAAAAGAAACGTCATTTATAAATATAGGGGGAATTCAGGTAAATTGGGACACTTTTTGCCATTGAGATGACTGGGGAAATGTCCCAATTATCCTGAATTATGGTTTCAAACTCTATCGAAAAGACTTGAAACAATCCATTTGTAAGAAACTGGAAAAGCCCTTATACACATACACAAGACTTCATGGAAATGTACAAATGGGTGGTTTATTACTCTATCAACAGCTCTGCTAAATGCTGAAATGTGTGACCCATGATGCAAAGCTGTTTCACATCAGTTGTCTATTCCAAGATTCCTCCCAATCTGACAAGAGCCAAAGATAACAGACTCGCACTGCAAGGCCTGATTTCATCGAATAAATGCACGTGCAGCTCTGCGGGAAACCCTGTGAAGCAAGAGGCTCTCTCAGAGAAGAGAAAGGAATTGAGAAATAGAAAGAATGGAAAGTAGAGAGATAAGAGAGGTGCGTACCTTATGGCAGAAGTGCACAGCAGAGACAATCTGCCTGAAGAAGTGTCGGGTTTCTCTCTCAGTCAGGCGTCTGCGTTCGCTGATGTAGTCATAGAGTTCACCCTTACTGGCGTATTCCATGACAATCACTATCTTGTCCTTATTTTCAAACACTACAGAACAAAACAACATAATGAAAATCTGATCAGTTTATCTATACCTTGTTTATTCGTGATGTTTTATTTATATATGTTCAGAATGTTATTTTATGATCTGTATGCCAGATTGAAATCCGTATAAAAATGTTTTATTTCAGTTTGTAGTTAGCAGTATCATTTACAATAAAGCTGTTATATTGTCTAGTATTTTTATCCATAATGCAGTTCCACAAGTAAGTGGAAGTACGTCTCTAATAAAAGTTGAAAGAAATAGATAAGAAAAAAAATCTAGATAAAGTTGTAGGCCTCAGGAATTGACCAGTTGGATAACGTGACCCATGTCTAGGTTACACAGGCCAAGGCTTCAACAGGGAGGTGTCCAGTCAAAAATAAATGTACGGTGGCGCCTTGTTTCTTCAGAATGCAACCCACAATGAAAAAGTACAAGTACAAAACTATTGGATGCATAAAAATGAAAAGACTTTGTTTTATAGTGGCCAGTCCAGAAAGTTCAGCAGGTCACAGCGGAATCCGTTAACGACCAGGAGAAGCTGAAAAATCCAGAGGAACAAACACAGCAAATTACAGCCCGACGCAGCAGAAAGTGGCTGTTTCTGCAAAACCCCCAAAATCCTCATACACATCACCCCACCCAAGCGTTTGGCGCTGCCCCTGTCTCCTGTCACACATCCAGAATCGCTTCTCATCTTTTTACAGAATCTCTCCTGTCCGCCATCGCTTTCCACAGAACAGCAGGGAATGCAAGCGCAAGGCCTTCTGGGATTGTGCAAATACAGTTTAGAGAGAGAGAGGGGTAACAAAGTTAACGTAACACAGATTTACTGTGTCAGCGTAAATCAGAGTCTTCTCACAGTGACGCTAAATATCGGAGCTCAGCGCTAAATTCGACAGCGATATGCAGCCTGTAGGAAAGGAACATCCCAAATGAGATCATCTCAATTGTTTCTCCTAGATCACAGTGAGGTTAAATGCAACTAAATGGAGACTTTGCTCAAGTCTCCTGCTTCTCAGACGTTTCTCCCGAAAAAAAAAAAAGACTTCAAAATAGTCTGCAATCAAAAGTCAGAGATCTCAATATGAGCTTGAACATTTCTCATCTAATTTTATAGCTTTATTTTCCTGCTGTATGTCAACAATTGTCTCATTTGGGAGGAATTTTAGGAGAATCAATGGAGAAACTTTTGATATCCGTGACTATAAGTCTCGTGAGCATTGAGTGAGCAACCTTTGAGTAATAAAAATGTTCCTCTGGGAAAGTTCACGCAGCTAAACGGGTACGCAAGCAATTCATTCCTCTATCCAAAAATTTCCACGACCAGCCCAAACCCATAAACATAATTTAACACCGCACAAAATTAAAAGAGAAAGACACTCTGACATTAGAGCAATGACAGACAAAGTCAGACACGAGAAAAAAAAAGAGTCTCCGGAGACTCATTTAAAGAGGTGTTCTCCCCTCTTTGAGTCGGGCCAACCACAACACAAGCGAAGTCATGACACAGAACAAAGATGAATACGGTAACTCTTCAAAAATAAACTGCCCTATAAACCCAGACGGACTTTGAGCGGAAAAACGTCGAGTCAGCGCACCGAGAGCTCGCCAGGCCCGCCGTGGCACAGAATCAGCAGAACAAACCAGACGGCTGCAAAAATGTCTTTAGAAATGATCAACACAGAATTTCACCAGAGATCGTAACCACTGAAACACATGCTGGTCAGGAATGGGGAGCATCATATTCACAGATGCTGATCTACTTTAAGTAAAGGTAAAAACCTTTTACTGTCCTTCACAACACATGTCTATCAATAGTTAATGAAAGATTATTCATTATTTATTAGAATTGTATGTTTTATTTATTGCTGAGTTTGAATGGACGGATGGATGGACGGACGGATGGATGGATAGATGGATAGATAGATAGATACCTTCATATATTGAGATGATATGTGGGTGGCGAAGAGACGACATGATCTCGATTTCTCGTCGAATGTGAACCATGTCCTGTTCATCTTTAATCTTCTCCTTCCTGATAGACTTGATGGCAACCTGAAGAGAAGAATGATTTACAGTTTCAATCTTGTCAAAAAGAATAAAAATGTTTATCAGAGTATTTGTAAAAGATGCTGATTGTGGTCAATTTGTGACTAAATCAAATATTTATCTTAGTAATTTTATGAGACAGGAAACGACTCAAGTTAGCGTAAAACTCACATTGCCAGGATTAGCGCCACAGCTTAGCACTTAGCCGCGGCTCTGACAAAAACATTCTATTTCTGAATGTCAGAAAAACACCTGAGTACATTCTTCAGACAGAGGTGTAATCATCCCATCACACACACGCACACACACAGAATTATCCCATAAACACATCACGGCTGAGTATATTTTCAGTCTCCTGCTATGTAATTTTCCTGATGTTTTTTAGGAAAATGAGGGTGCAGTGTTTGGAAGCGGAATGAAAGCTCTTTCATGGGCCCTGAGGACACTGCACTGATGTCTCTATATGATCACATGATGACCTGAACAGGCTCCAGTATGTATGGAACCCCATTTCCACCACTGAATAAAAAATAAAAAAGCTAATTGAAACTTTTAATCTCACAATTCTGACTTTTCCACAATTGCGAATTTACATGTCATAATTCTGATTTAATTGTTCTCAGAATTGAAAGTGAAGTGATGTGCAGCCAAGTATGGTGTCATACTCGGAATTTGTGCTCTGCATTTAACCCATCCAAGTGCACACACACACAGACAGCAGTGAGTAGTGAACACACACACCCGGAGCAGTGGGTAGCCATTTTTCCTGCGGCACCCGGGGAGCAGTTGAGGGTTTGGTACTTTGCTCAAGGGTCTCACCTCAGTCGTGGTATTGAAAGTGGAAGAGAGCACTGTGCATTCACTCCCCCCACCGGTACCGAAATTCGAACCCGCGACCTTTGGTCATTCAAGTCATTCAAGTCCATCTCTAACCATGCCCCGACTGTCCCTATTGGCCCAGTTGTGAGATATATACTCACAATTGTGAGTTATAAAGTCAGAGTTGCCAGACATAAACATGCAATTTCAAGAAAAAATGTCAGAATTGTGAGATAAAAAGTCACAACTACCTTTTTTATTTTTGACTTAATTTCTCAGAACTGCAAGTATATATCTCGCAATTCTGACTTTAAAATACGCAATTGTGACTTTATATCACGCAATTCTAACTTTATAACTTGCAATTGCAAGTTTATATATCAGAATTACAAGTTTATGTCATGCAATTCTGAGAAAAAAGTCCGAATTGCGAGATTTAAACTTGTAGTTACGAGAAAAAAGTTAGAATTGTGAGATAAAAAGTTTTCATCACTCACATTACTAAAATTCATGGAAATAATCAAACGATATATTTCTGTATTGTTTAAATATAAATAAAATGAAATATAATGTAAAAAAAATAACTCATAGAACCACACTCTTAGAACTCCAAAAAACGACCATTCTAGAACTGGAGATGATGTGGGCAAAGAGGAGATGCCCTATTGACTGACTGATGAATGATATCATGGGGAGGAAAGAGGAAATGATATCTGGGTAGTGATTTCATGTCTATTCCTGTCCTATCTCACTCTCCCAGGCGTGTGCTACAGGTCCATTTAAAGAACAAATGGAACAATGAGTGAGCTGATGACAAACCTTAGCTGGAAAAGAGGAAGCCCTTTGTCAATTCCTTTTGTTTTGTGATGTCATATCCACAACGATTGTCCCTAAAACATGTCTATCCGCTCCTCGATGTAGATTCTCATCATCGCCAGCAGTTATCAGAACAGCCCGTTTCTTCACATTAATGGCGAGCGAGCAGGCGGACCGCCGCTTTTCTCCGAGAAACCAAAACCACATGTTTCCGAGGAGCTGAAGATAAATTACTGACTACATCCATAAAAGGAAAGTCCTAGCGGAATGCTTCAGAACTGATTATGTGGAATAAAAAGACATAAACAAATCCAGAAACCAGGGCCCGTTCTCTAAAAGCCGAATGGGCAAACCCTGCTCTTTATTGGAAAGCCATCAGCAAGTGTTTTCCATGAGCTCATGAATTTATGTGCAGCTGAAGGTATTCACCTCCCGCCAGGTCCGCTGGAGACGGCATGAATACTAATGCTGCAGTTTGTTCAAACGCAGCAGGAGCGAGAGTTTAAAATAATCTCCAGGAAGAAAACACAAATCACAGCTTTCCCACAGAGGTAGAAACAGGATTCTGACCAGCGGAGCTTTTTATTTGCTTATCTGTGTGCGAGCCAAATGAACAGAATACAGCATCAATAAAAAGGCAGATAAGTTTTTCTATTTCATTAATGGTGTTTGCAAAGAGAGGGATTTGAACTTTGTTACCTAACATGATTTATACCTTTAAACTTGTAGTGTAGAGATATGCTACTTTTTTATTAAATAAAATAAAAAAAATTGGGGGGCATGCCTTTTTGACACCATGTGCTTTTTTTGACCATGTAGCAATCTCCCCAGGCAACATAGCAATCACCCCAGACACCCTAGCAACCAACTCAAACGCCCTAGCCACCACCTCAAATGATCTAGCAATCACCCTAAATGCCCTAACAACCATCCTAGTAAATACCTAGAAACCACCCCAAATACCCTAGCTACCATCTAACAATCACCCCGGATACCCTAGAAACCACCTCGAACACCCTTGCAATTATGTGGAATGCCTTAGCAATTACCCCAAAACCCTGACTACCACCCTAGTAACCACATAAGACCACCCAAACACCCTAGCAACCTCCTAGCAGCCACTTCAAATGGCCTATCAATCATCCTGAATGCCATAAAAACTACGCAAAACCCTAATAACCACTATGGGTGTGCGATAATGACAGAAAATGATATCTCAATATTTTCTGGAATTTTGTCGATAACAATAATTAGACGATATTTTGCTGTGCGTGTTATTGTGCTGGTATTTTGACAGGTTTGGGACTGCTGTGGACAGCTGACTCCCAAAGCTTTTGATATTCTTTGTATTCTGTGTGGTGGTTAGTTTGCAGGAGTAACAGGAATGAATTTTTCCAACAAGTTAAAATTGCTTTTTACCTATTATAGGGCTGTTACCAATCAGTCAATACAAATCCATCATTATCAACAAAATTTGTGTTTGCAATGCACAGGTGACACAGAATCTGCTTCTGTGGCATTTAGATGCATTCACAAAGACTGTTTAATGCAGGACATGAATGCAGTTAACCTGCGGTTACAAATGCATAAATAATGTTTTGATGTTTTAAAAACAAAACGTTCAATTGTGATATCTGAAATGATTTTGGGGAAAAAAGGGAAAATATACTTTAAATATAAACCCAAAATCGCCAATAGGTGGCGGCAAATCCCTGCATGAGTGAGTCATTGAGTCATTCATTCAACCGATTCGTTCAAACAGCTGATTGATTCGGTAACAAAACACTGTCGTGTGTTGCTCAGAGACGCAAAACAGTTCTGCTGTGGCTTTGTTTGAAACTATTTTTGTTGACGAAATAGAGCAAAAACAGGAACTTGTGTCTAACTTGTGAGTCAATTAATATGAACTTCTTGTCTATTATTTAGTTTAAACAATTACGTTATTATCGTAGAAGATATATATTGCACACCCCTAACAACCATCCAAGTAACCTTCTAGCAACCACCCCAATAGCCAAGGTACCATCTAGCAATCCCCCCGGACACACTAGTGACCACCACAAATGCCCTAGCAAGCAATCGGCCCAAAACCCTAACAGCCACCCGGGTAACCAGTAATGACCTAGCAACCACCCAAGCACCCTAGCAACTACATAGTAATCAGTATGAATACCCTAGCAACCTCTTATCAACCACCCAAAACCCTAACAACCACCTAGCAATTAGGGTTGCAAAGGGGCGACAAATTTCCGGAAACTTTCTTAATTTCTTTGCGACTGAATGTCATGAACATCTTGGATGACATGGGAGTGAGAAAATGATCAGGACATTTTTATTCTGGAAGTGAACTAATCCGTTAAAACCCACTACACTTTAACAGAATGTTTTGGCCTCCATGCAGGATATTAATTTTCCATAACATTTTCACTTCCTGTTCAAGATGGACTTTCAATTGTGTGTCTGCATTCGCACTGTCACAGTGACCTTTTCACACACAGACGGACAAGTGCGTACAAACACACACTCACACAGACATGTGACCAATTCATCACACACTCTGTGGAAGGAATGCTGACCGATATGTGGACATCCGATCTTGTTTGTACATTCAGATTCACACAAATGCAATGCAAACACAAGCTCATACGTGCGAGAGCTCACACACACATGCTATCTGTCTGTCTGCTTGGGTCATTATGGTGAATCTGAGGCTGGTAAAGTCATAAAGAAGAATATGTTACACAATTTCTTTGGTTATCTGTGCCTTAGGGGTAGAGGTCAGGAATATGCCATTCTGGATTGTAGCATATATCAACAGCCAGAACCTTCTGTTTGTCTGTGTACGTGTTAACAAACAGAAAAGCTTTATCACGGCAGAATGAACCTTACGTTCAGCAACAGACTTTGTTTGTTTAGCCAGGGACATCACCTAGAGGAACTAAACTAAATATGATATGAGTTGAACATAATGGCCCAGAGGAATATTTTATTGCTTTTATTTTATTTAATGTTTGAAGGTATGCAAGCTTAATTAAGTGTGTTATTGAATTATTCAGAGATATTCATAACACAATCCAAGTATGCAAACGCAAACGCAGGCTCTATTTCAAACACACAAGTGCAATTTCCAAAAATCGTCAGAGCACTATTAACACAAAGACACAAATGTTTGCAGGAATGCAAGGTCAATTAAGTGCGTTGTTGCATTATTCAGTGCTATTCATAACATAATGCAAGTATGTGATTATAAACGTATAATGTAGGTACGCAAGCTCACTGTTACGCTGCAAAATTAGAACAGAATTCGTAACACAATGCAAGTATGCAATTACACTTTTAGATATGCAAGGTTGATTAAATGAGTCATTGCATTCTGCATTGCATTCAATTGCTATTCATTACAACACAACAATGTGAATGCTGCCGTGTCACAAAGTTTGTCAGAATTCAATTATTTATAATGCAGTGCAGGAACTCTTCTTAGTACGCAAGTGTGATTTCACATGTTGTCGCATTCTGAAATGTGTCAGATGACTGTATAAACAATGCAAGCAAAAAAGTTTTTACGTTGAGAGATTTTACGTTATGCAGTACTATTGATAACACAATGTAAGAATGCGAATAAACGCAAACTCTTCTAGGTACGGAAAGTCGTACTGCAATTCATAATCATAAGTCAGAATGCAAATCATAACGCAATGCAAGAAAATGCAATGCAAAAAGTACAAATGTTTCAAGGTAGACAATGTCGATTTTGCGAGTTTTTGCATTATTCAGTGCTATTCATGATGCAATGCAAGTATGCAAAACAAATGTTTCTGGCTATACAAGTCCTTTTTCAAATATTGTTAGGCTAGAAAATGAGAATGCAATTTATAACTCATTGCAAGTATGTAAACGCAATGACCCTTAGATAAGCAAAGTCAATTTAATGCAGCGTTGCATTCAAATTTGTTTCAAAATGCTATTCATAACAATACAAGTATATGAATGCAAATGCTTTGCATGCAAGCCCATTTTAAAACGTGTTGCAAAAATGTGTAATGCAAGTATGCAAGTGTGAAGTCACACTAAAATGTGTCAGAACGCAATTTATGACGCAATGTGAGTACACTGCATTCTCAGCGATCCCACAAAGGGGCACTAATGCTTCTTTCGTGTTTCACAGAAGAAAGTAAGTCATAGAGGTTTGGAACAACATGAGCATAATGAAATTTTTCAAAATGTACATTTTTGAGTGAACTATCACATATAGGAGAAAGAATCTAAATACTGCAGTGTTGTACGTGTGTAGGTGTGTTTTAAGACTCTGTGATGTCTAATGTTTAGTCTCTATGGTAGTTACCAGTGGTTTCTACGTCTGTTATCTATACGTATGTGCTATAACTCTTTACAGACAGCACGTCCGGCCAGTTAAAAGTTGTTCTGACTAATTCCTGCTAAGCACACTAAACCCATGCCAGAAAACAACACCATATGTCTTCCTGAGTGACTTTATGTTTATGGGCCCAGAAACACGCATGACAAATTATGTTTTACCATGCGTCTGAGTTTGAGGTTAACGAAAAAACATGTATGTGTAGTGTGTGCACCGTTTTATTTTTAGGTCTGTTAGCATGCGCTCATACTTTCTTCAACAGCCTGCCAACACTCTGATGGCACACTGCCCACCGATACACTCAGACCTGTGTGTGTGTGTGTGTGTGTGTGTGTGTGTGTGTGTATGGCTGTATGAGTTGTGAAATAGCCTGGATTGTAAATTATTAAACTAAAAGAAGGCTATATATCTGCTTCCAGCCCATAACAGTCACCAACAACAGTGTTTCCATGGAAATATACATGACTGGAGGGCATTTCAACTGCTAGAATGGTTTGCAGATAAGTAAAAAACAAAGATAAATGCTAATAACAAAACATAACTAACCATACAGTCATTCATAGTTAGCTTTCTGCATTTTTTGTCTTCAAAAGCTGTACATCCAATCAAATTATACTGTATTTTGATGCAAGTTCATCAATCACTTGGGTACAATCTAGTCAAATCAGCCAGATGCTGATGTTTTTTTCTCAGAACAATGAACAATTTTATTTTTAGCAAATCTGCACCCCACTGACTTTCAGAGAATGGACCAAAAACACTGAGACGTTTTTTTTTTTTAAGATATCTTTTGTATGTTAAACAGCAACCAAAGCCACGTGCCGTAGTGTGCCGAACGAATCCGGTATGTTTGATTAATGAACAAACGAACACTAAAGCCCTGCCTGACCTAGATGCCCACAGAAGAATTTCTAGGTCAGAGTTCATTAGTGACCCGAGGGTCAGAACTCAAGGTCTTTAACACATATGGTGCTGATTGCATCATTATTTACGGCAAGCGGTCAGCAGTGACCTTTGAACCGAACTGCAACCACGACAGACAATTGGTTAAAGCATGATGCGTTACATTGGGGGCCATTAGAGCAACTTTACAGGAGATATAAAACATCTGCTCCTGCACAAGCAAATTCCCATGAGATGGACCGAAATGAGCCAAACACAACAACAGATTATTATAGCAGAGCTGACACCATAAACGACAAATTACAGCCGGCCCAAGATCCAGGCCAGTTCTTTATTCATTTACCAAAAGATTCATTGATTCAGAAGTTCAATCACTAGTATACATCTATGTATCACGACATTTCCTTCAGATGTTACCATAGTACTACAGTAATTTTCAACTAAAGGTCAAGTATCTTGCAGGGATTGAACCTGCAACCTTCTGGATAGCAGTTCTGATATATAACCACTACATTAGATTGATTGATTTAGCAGATGCTTGAAGCTCTTACCTCTCTTCCAGAATGGCGCTCGATGGCCTTCTTGACTTTGCCATAGGTTCCTCTCCCCAGGGTCTCCAGCAGCTCGTAGCGATGCTTGAGGTTGTGTTTGTGATGATGTTTCTTCACACCAGAGCTGCTGCGTTTGACCTCACCGGGGCCCTCAGGGGCTTCCGTCACCACTGAGGGGCCCGGCGGGTCACCTGGCATTTGTGTCTCCATCACGCCGGAGGATGATATTTTACACCTCCCTCTATGTTTAAATATCTTGACTAAATGCTTTGAAATATTGATAATATAAATCTAATTAATATAGCTAATTAGCATATAAATAAATAAATAAATGACAATGCAAAGGTTTATTATGTTCACATATAAACTAATTTATGATTGTCAAAAATGACTCATATTTAAATGAGGTGTCTATCTATTCTACCTATAACCGGCTATGGTAGGCTATCTAAAAGAAAATAATAATCCCAGTCTAATTATGAACGATAAAACAGGGCTATGAACGGACTAAATAGGCATATTATTAAAAAGAAACGAATGAACACGTGCCATGTGGTTTTATGGCACTTATGAACTGCTACAATGTATCATTCACAATTAGAACGACAATGTATCTATTGTGCATTAATCTATTATGACGCGTTCTAGACCATTATGACGTAGCCTACTCCGTTATGACGTGTTCTCTTTCCCGTGGCGCGTTCGATCATGATTTCTCCGTTATTCCTTTGTTTCAATCTACCGCAGAAGATCTCAGTCGAGAAAGCAGCGACCACGCCGGCGTTCTGGACGTAAATCACCCTCATTCTGGCCTCGGATCCGCCGTGGTGTCAGTCAGCTCGGTTCTGGTGCAGGTGATCCGTGATGTGAGGCTGGGTGCGCGGATGTGCTGCGGTCTCGTGTCTGCTGTGGCCATGGTTCGGTGTGTTCGGCCCGTCTCTCCTCCCGGTGTCCTGGTCTGTGATTCTTTCTCTCTGTCCTCCTTCAGATTGAGAAACACTGAATAAAGACAAAGGGGGCGGAGTCACGCCGGTGAGTGTGTGTGTGTGTGTGTGTGTGTGTCTCGCTCTCTCTCTGAATGTGTCTTTACTCTGATTTTCTGATTCTGTTTTACTAGAGTGAAAACAGAAAGTTAAAGTGTCATTTTTTATATATATATTAATATACTGAGACTTTATGCAGAGAATATAATACACACTGTATATAGAATGCATAAAGTAGGCTAGATATGCTTATATATATATATATATAT